ACTTGGCAGATACTCATTTCAGTCATCATGTTAGCTGTATCATAAGCGAATTTAGTCATACGGACTACCGGGGTAACGGGTGTCCTCAAGCTACCCTGACATTCTTTGGCACGAAACTTGCTTTTCTCTGGTGATTACAACCACAACGCAAGCAAAATGTTGGAGATTTGTTTAGTTGACAACCTTGTCTTTGTCATATCTAGTGCTCATGCAATTTTATATTTCTACGGGCTCAAAAATGATTGAAAATTCAAGGTTTTTCTAATTTTTTCTGGGTCTGCTCAACTATCAGGCTTCCGACCACGGATCAGACTGAGCATACTCATTGTTCTCTAATATATTTTCTCATAATTTTTGATTTAGCTTTTTGGTCTTACTGTTGCTGATACTACTACTATTGCCATTATTATTATTATTATTATTATTATTATTATTCTTAATATTCTTATTCTTATTATTACTATTATTATTATTATTACCATTATTAATGTCATCTTTTACTGCAAATAGGAACGAAATTTTACCAAACAAAACTTAGTCTGTTTTATGAGTTCGTATTCATCTTTGCTTACTTTACTCCCATTCTCATCTTTGCCTTGCAACGAATGCTTCCAGCCAGACGATCCTGCTCTCTTGCATACAGCTCGCCTTCTTGGTATTGTGGAACCGCCTCCTCTGCAGCTCGTCAAGCCGAGGTCACTCGACTCCAATCTTCGGAGACTCTCGCCTCAAGGATTGGCAAAACTTGCGCGCCATCTCTGCATGCGGGTTATTTGTCCTGGCAGTGGAGTAGGGTGCTCTGAAGCAGTCTCTAAGCCACTAGTCATGGCAGAAGCTTCGACCGGTCGGGATGCTTTGGCAAAAGCAATTTATGGACAGCTATTTGCTTGGATGGTAAAAAGGTCAAATAAAGCGTTAAGCGGAAACATTGCATCTGACAAAGAGGCCAATGCGCCTGGAGCTAGTGGAACAAACGTTAGAGAGCATGAGAGGAACGAAGAAACGATGAGGCTGAAAAGGCGTCTCCAAGTGTGTACTTTATCACCGGAATGACCTATCAATATCCGTTTTGCAACATTTACTAAGAATAATCGATGAGAGTATGTTCATAGACTATCAATAATTCTTGAATGAGGACTTAAGTAAACCTGAGTAGACTTTAAGGACTGTTAATAGACATTCCTGCATGGAATTGAGAATGCCTCATGATCCCACTGAATTTCGCTTAGTCCTATATTCAAACTTGCCTCCAACAGAGGTCACACTGGATCACAGAATGAATGCAATTTTCGAGGTAAGCCAAACCTTTCTCATATCACATTTTATGTTGACATTGTCAATGAAGCAAGCTCACATTTGCTTCTTATAATCAATGGCGTAAATTACCCTCGATCAGCGAATTAAAACTGAAATTCAGCTTTGAGGTAAAAGCCTTTTGAGAGGCAAGGCCAAGTGAATTCCAAGAATATAATGAAGCTTATTGGGTCTATTGTGGGAATTTCCGTTATCAGTCCTTAAATTCACCTTAAGCGGCCTAGAATGACTAAACTTCGTATTTACTCAGAAGTTTGGTCAGCCAAACGAGATTACAATTATTATTGTAGCATTGACACCAGGAATTTTTCGCAAAATATTTGATTTACCATCGTATCTTTCAGAATCACTTTGGCCTTATTTATCTGGTAAGAGGTTTTTAAAGTTAAAGTAGCCTCCTAGACTACTCTTAATTCCATCTCTGATAATTTAACTATGGGTCTCATGATGCAGCATCAAATTGAATAGCTTTTGTCTATGCTGAATATGGTGAAAGTCCTTTAGTAAGCTCGGCCCAGTTATGTTGAGTTGTTTTGAGAGTGAAGCTAATTTAAACTTTTGGTATATTACTTCTGTGGAGCTTTCTCAGCTTTAAATGCTAAGTAAATCCTTCATCCAATCCTCCCTTCCATACTATTATTTGTGTCGTTCACCCAACATTAGACTATATTATTTAACTAAATAACTAAATATTTAACTAACTAACTAACTAAATAAATAAATATATATATATATAATTAATAGAAGGACTAAGTAAATAAAAAAAATATTACGAGTTAATTGGATAATGAGATGTATTCACCCTATTTCGTCTAAGGGGATGAAAGACTGGTAGTAGAATTTTTCCACAATGATATGAGTTGAGCTAATGTTTCCATTGAATTTAACAGCCTTGCTTTCCCAAAAGTTGTTCTCATCCAGCGTGGATCATGAGCTTAGACGAAATAGGGTGAATACATCTCATTACCCTGATTTACTGGTCGTCTCAAAACCCTACTATCATATTAATTGGATAAGTAAATGAAATGAAAAACAAAATATTTTTTGGGTTTAATTCCAGATCTACTGAAATCATCAAACTTACTTTGTAAATTGTAACGGCAGAGTAAAGGTTTGCCTCGTCGAAAACTCAATAATTAAATGTGATATGGGAAAGGTCTGCCCAATGACCCACTAGCACGATGACAGTGACCCGCTTCATTAACTGGGTCAGATTATGGTTTGGGATGACGATGGGTGACAGACAAATTCGAAACTGCAGTCCATTCTGGAAAATAATACATTTTGGGAGGCAAGGCTAAGTAAACTTAAATGCATCGTGAGGCCTACTTCTATCCGAGTGTAATAATTTGACAATCAGTTTGTCATCACCTTGTGCTACCTAGGCTAAATATAGTCCTTACTTTTTTTCTTTCCCATAGTTTGAAAACGTATTTGTTAAAAAATTTATTTATTCTTTTACTAAACACTATTCATGTCACGGCTTTATTTCTGTTATCGTAATCTCTTTTCGTACTTAAGGCATGTGAACTTCCTTTATTCTGCTCATATTTAGTTTTTTGAGGCATATTTTCATTATTAAGTTTACATAATGCGTATATATCGTTGACGGGTAATTTAGAAACTATAAAATAGACTTACATCGTTAATTGTGTGAGATATTTTACCCTTGATTTTGATTATATGGAAATCTACCAAAGCAGACAATTTCAAGGTGAAAATAAAAATATGGATATTAGAGAGCCCAAACACGAACGGGAAAAATCTAGAATGGCGCCCATGTTTCCTCGAAAGGTCTGATTTATAGAAGCAAAAATAAACATAACTGCTTCCGAAACACGATTATTGGCAACTTTTCTATAATATTGCAACTATCAGTGATCTCCTTGTTGATGGGATACATAATTTTTATTATGATGCTATAGGTAACATTTGGGTTAATATTCATGATGAAGTGAAAATCAACCAGTATACTGAGAATTTTACTTGACCATATTTTCCAATAGAACATTTCAACTAGTTTTCAACAGTAGCTTCGACTTAATCTTTGTGTACTCATCACCACCGGCGGCATTTCAGTCGCGAACCTTTTCTTCACAGACAAGTCCGCTTCCTCCCAGGTCATACGAATCTAGTTTCGTTGAATTACATATTAGGCTTCTCCCAGTTAACATTTGTTAAGATGAATTTTTGTATCGAAGTGTAACCTACAATCGATTACTTCTCCGACCACTGTCTTGACACATATAAATACTTTATCTTACTCCGTTGACAACCCAGTATGATTGCTAATGACTTTATGGCCCATAGTTACCTAAGAATAGTTCCTAACTGTCTGTAACTTATTCAATAGTGTAGGCCTTTTTCACTAGCTAGGCTAATTGAAATTCATCGAAACTCTTAGACTAAGAGTTGATGTGGGACATTTTTATACTCAAAAGTATTCATATTCTAAAACTCCATCAGAATGACGCTTAGCACCTGCTTATGTTTGCATGAACTATTTCTGAGTCTTGCGTATTTCTTTCGGATGTACTTCTGCTTGTCGGCATAAAGCCTCACCAAAGCATTGTGCTATGTGTGCGTCCTTGAAGAGCTTAAAGAAATTCGATTTTTAGAGTAATACATCTATATCGTTATTTATATTTCACCTGCATTAGATCGTCTATCCTGACTCTTGCGAGCAGCAATAGTTGCATAAGAATAGTAGCCTCTTACCATTTCGTTAGCTGATGACCTAAAAAGGCGATTTTCGGTCTCACTGCTTAGGAACTACTGAAAAAAGCTGAATTTTTAATAAATTCAACATTTTATAGGTTTCTTTAGCTACCTTAATACATCTACAGGCTATTGCACATTTGGCTGCGCAGCCAAACAATGAGCCTTAGCTAATCCATCTTCTTCCGTATAATGCTAGCATGAAAATTTAGTCAACCTAGGCCGCTTAAGGTGATTAATGAACTGATAGTGGTCTTTTTCTCGCATGCATGGTCCCCAAGATACAATTAACTTGATGGGTATGGATGAAATAGGATTAAAAGGTAGATTTAATCTTCAAAGCAAACGACAGCTTTATCAAATCCCGCTCATATTAAGAACATAAATGAGGCAAAAATGCATTTTTTTTGAGAATCGACTGCATTACTTACATGAAATAGAAGTGTGTCTCGAAATTCCTCGTAATTCTTGAATAATACTTGATTTTACACAAAATATTTAAAGTCTAGTGATAAATATATGTTGTTATTATTCACATTCCCACTAAACTGTGATATGGAAAAGGTCTGACTCGCCTTACAGGTTACATCTAGCCTATTGCTCACTGGAACGTGTAGCTGTGTGAAAGGAGTGGAGAGCATCTCTACGATACACACTACTCGGTTTCGAATCCCGCTGGATGCGGTGGCAAAAGTTAGTAGGAATAGAGCCTGCAGTCTGCTATGGAAATTAGGCAAAGTGAAATCCAATTGCATCTTGAGGCTTATCTTCATCCCTGCGAGAAACAATTCGCTTTCACCTTCCAATTCACATTAAGCGATTTGGGATAATTTAGTTATTATTTAAGAATTTGTGATAGTTTTTAAGCCATCTCATGGTGAATAAGTCTTACCGATTGGTGGCCGGTATCATTCTCCATTTCTGAGTCATATGGCCCAACATATCTTGTGGGGCAAGTTAATTTAGTACTGTGACGCGAATTTTTATTTAGAAGCAAAGGCTTACGTTGTATCAATGAGACCATGACGATATCAAACAGCTCTTTGAATTGCGTAGTACAATGTAAATAAATATAGAAGATTATAGTTTCTCGTTAATTAAGGCTGGACGAATTCGATATAAGTTCACTAAATATAAAATATGTGTTTAATGAGAAGAAGTGGAATTTATTTCTGAAAAGCGAAGAAATAACAGTTATACTTACTTTGATATCTTTTTTTAACTGCCTTTTAATTTAATTTAATCTATCCATAACCCCTTAAAGCGTGTACAGCGAATAAAAAATAAACCTCCTACATTCATTGGAGTTCTCGATATCTATGGCTTTGAGGTTTTGACTATTAACAGTTTCGAGCAATTATGTATCAACTATGCGAATGAGAAACTGCAGCAACAATTTATACAGGTAAATATATAAAAGTTTTGATTTATTTGATTATTTTTTCTTTTATCCCTTGATGGCCCTTCGAGTATACAGCTTTTAAGAGCTGTATTTCTCCTCTTTCGTTTAAATTGATGAGGGACT